ATAGCTCAATTGGTTAAAAAGAGCAGTCGCCCGGAAAGCGAAAGATCCGTGGTTCGAGTCCCGGTCCAGTCGGTCCAGCGGTCCAATTTTTTTCACGAATCCCACATATATATAAACGTATAAAAAGAAACATGAAAAAAAAAAGATAGAAAATTTGAAAAGCATCCACAATATTTATACTCCAAACGGAATCGTTCGTAATCAATGCGAAAGCACGCGTGCGAGAGTATGATCCCAGGTAGATATTAATCCGGTTACAAGCGTACGGCTAATAACGCAACGAGTTACATTGCATAAAATTGGTACGCTTGTGAATCCTATGGTCGTTTTATTTGATGTCGAGGGAAATAGTAGTGACAGAGTTTGCCTGGATCATACTAACTCGAATTCGTTTCTCATTTTTCCATTTCTCTCGCATTTCATATTTCATAGTTTTTCTCGTATTTTTGATATTATTACGTTTGGTATATATGTATCTACGTTACATACATATTTATAGTAGTCTGAAAAAAAGATTACTATCAAGGGGACGGTTTGTTTGTTATCCTCACTTTCGAAGTTAACAAAATAGGATCTTTGTTGCACAATCAAATATGATTTTAAATTGATCACGATGTATTAACGATGAGATTTATATTATGATTAGGCATTTATGTATTTATATTAATGATTCGTTTATGAATTATTCAATTTATAAGAACATACGTCTCGTATATTTCGTCTGCGTAAAGTTATCCTCTTTTTTTTGAATGTATTAAAAAATGAATAAAAATTTTCTGTTTTTGTAATATAGTTGCAGATTTCTTGATGTACTTGTAAGAGTGGAAAATAGAAGATAACAGAAATTTATACGTTTGGATGTATCTATATATATATATATATATATATATATTGCAGTAACTAATGAAAAGTCTGCAATTGAAACGAATAAACAAAGTTATTTAGATTAATAGACCGAACTTTGTCTTTTCAGATGCCATGAATTCGTTGGTCGAGGAGCTTGTCGTTGAAGCTGGCAAGAACGTGACGTTGAGTTGTCCAGGAGTGACGGAAGACTCTCTGGTGTATATGCTCGAGTGGCGAGCCGACGGTATGCAACTGCTCGAGTGGCGGGCTAACGGAATGCAACTCGAGCACGCCAACAGAGGCACCGTTGTTCGGAGTCATCAGAATAGGGTGTTTCTCTCTTTGAAAAATTACGCTCTACAATTTCATCCTGTCACAGCACCGGACTCGGCCAAGTACGAGTGCCTGATAAACAATCGTAGTACACCGGAAGCCATTATTAAGCTCATCGTTCAAGGTAAGTTACTTATTTTTTAATTATTACTTCTTTTTTTATATCAATACTTTTAGAAAAATATTTTCCTTTTCTTATTGTTTCATTTTTTCTCACTATATCGTATTCCTTACAAAAAATGACGGATTTTTAAGCTAGAATAAAAAATAATCCAACATTAATTTCAACCTGTTTATGTAATATTACATTTGTTCATCGAGAAGCGAAAACAAAGATTTTGTTATTTTTGAAGAAGTCTCGACCTAGGTCTGATAATTCTATATGCGTTGGGTATATATATATATATATACATAGAAGAACACTGTAATAACAAACTTATGCGTCAAAATATCGCTATTTCAACTCTGGTACGATTTCAGAGAAATTCGTAGATACATAATGTATTTATTCTTGATATACTAACTAATTTTGAAATTTCCATATATCTACGCACGTTAATTCGGTATTAAATCATTTTCTTTTTTTCAGCAATAGTTAATTCGCATTGGTTACTCGTTGTTTCGTAAATGCAAGTAGTAGTTGGAAAAGGTAGTGATTGCAGAGTTAGTAGAAATTGCTTTTAGTTGAGGGAAATTTAGGAAACCTTACATGTAGATCTATAAGGACTTTCAAAGGGTATCGCTCTACTAACGAAGGCAATTTGCAGGCCTTCTCAAAGTAAGTTCCAACTATACACCAGTAGCGATCTTCTTGTAACCTCAATATCGTTGTTTCAACGATATTGGATAAACTTGCCGGGAGGGGTTGCATTCCTTGTTCGAATGTGAAAATGGTCTTCGTAACGGTTGAGATAATTATACATTTTCTCTAATTATCTATCTGGCTATTACCATATCATAACTCTCATCGAAGTTGAGGCCAACTTAGTCAACGCGCTTCGATTTTGGAAGAAAATCGATGGGTTCCCAATCTAAGGTATAGTAAGGTATAGTAGCAACATCATACATATTCTTTCTGGCAAAATATTCCCGTGTTACTTCTCGAAGAATAGAGACATTACCAAGTACAAATGCAGTTCTTCTGTTCCTTCTCGCGTGGTTAAAAATGATGAAAACTTTTCGAGTGCACTTTCTATTGCTTTTAGCCAGCAGCAATGCCATTGAAAACGCTTTTCCACACTTCCTTCGGAATATATCGATTTACTTTTCGCTTACTTTTATGATAAGTAAAAACGAATCGTTTGTACTTCGACGACAACGTTAAATTTTATTTCTTATCTCCTATATCTACTTTCCCCTTATTTTTTCTTTACTTTTTTTCTTTTCCGCCGGTAATTTTCTCGATCAGTTCTCTCTTTTTTACTCTCTATTTTTCCTCCCTTTTTTTAATTTATTTTTTTTTACTTCCCAGAACCGCGTAATGGTCACTCTTTGATTCATTCACTGTGGTCGCAATTTGTGTTCGGGGAGCTAGTTCACTCCGAAAGTTTCCGAGTTTACACAAACTTCGTGGTGAACTTTTTGGGTGAGTTGGAAGGGAAAAGGATTGGGTATGGCTGGCACCATCCCCCTGTAACTGCCTCGGTGCTCGACGATCTTCTAATGCTTTATTTTAAAACTCGGTTTCTATCCTTACGGAGTGTTTGCTTTAAGTATTTACGCCTGATTTGAATTCGTCACGTGTAACTCAACGCGTCAAGAGCAAACTTTTACTCCGAGGCGTATCCTATAGTCGTTGGAGTTATGAGAGAGAGCGAGAGAGAGAGAGAGTGCACAAGACCATAACTTCACTTGTCTCGTTTCCCGGACACACAAAAAGAAGTAAAAAGGGAATGAATAAGAAAAAATAAAAAAATTAAATAAAATTAACGAAAGAAGTAAAAACTAAGCAGATATCTCTAGTGTCATTTCTCATCCTTGTTACGTCGCGGTTGATTCAAATTCGATGCACGATTCGTTGCGCTATTCGATTGAAAGGATCTCTGGAATTTCTGAGTGAAACGACGTAAAATTATGCGACGGTTACCATGCCTTCCAGCGAATCATCTTATTCATGCTTCCTCCTTCAAATGCACGACGAACGAACTATCCAGGTTTTCTCGGATTTTCCTCTCGATATTACATGAACTCGATTTCATGTCATCGGAGAATCGTTTATATCTTCTTATATAGTTCTTATAAACTTACTCTTTCTTGCATATTAGCGTACGAGTATCCATTGTACATATGTACATTAGGGTGGGTCAAAAAAATCAATTACTTTTTTTTTTTTGCAAGTGACACAGAAAAATGGGTTGCTAGACACCTTAAAAAAGTTCTCACCAAATATGAGCTCTTAATTTTAATAGGAAGATCCTCGGCATCACAATTTTTTATTTTTTTCTCAGTCCAATAGAATAAAATTCATACCGCATCATTAATTGATTGTACAGAAAAATGTTCTGAAAGAATTTTGTAGGAAATTTAATGCTCTACAAAAAAGGTATCTTATATTTTTTCCGTAAACCTCACCATTTGAATGA